TGAAACTTCGATTGGAGCTTTAACTGTAAGTGCATTATACTGTCCGCCAAGACATAACATTTCTCATGAAAAATTTAGTGAATTCTTTACATCTTTGGGACCAATATTTTTAGCTGGAGGAGATTATAACGCTAAACATTGTTCATGGGGTTCGAGATTAAGCAATCCAAGAGGTAAGCAACTTTATAAATCCATGGTTAACTGCAGACTTAAACACTTATCAACAGGTGAACCAACTTACTGGCCTGGAGACACTTCTAAAATTCCAGACCTTCTAGACTTCTGTATATTCAAGGGTATATTAGATGAACAATTAAAAGCTGAATCAAGTCTTGACTTATCTTCTGATCACACTCCAATCATTGTTACATTTAGCTCAAAGTTCAAATTGCAATCTAGAAGTCCATCATTAACAAATAAAAAAACTAATTGGGAATTATTTTCTAAATATATTGATGACAATTTATGCTGCAAAGTACCTCTAAAAAGTACAGATGATATTGATAATGCAATAGGTATTCTCAATAAAAATATCACTGATGCGGCTCGCTATTCTACACCCACAAATGATATTGTTGAACGATTTTTCTGTCCACTCGAAGCTAAAAGACTCATAGCCTGTAAAAGAAAACTGCGTAGAAGGTGGCAAAATACTCATTTTCCGGATGACAAAGCTAAACTGAATAAAGCTATTAAGGAACTTAAACAATATTTGTTTGATTTAAACAATAAACATATGGAGTCCTACTTAAGTGATTTGTCTGTTCATGACCATTCCATTTGGAAAGCCACGAAAAATATGAGAAGACCAACCTCCACGGTATCTCCAATTAGAAATGATGATGGTTCTTGGTCTAGATCAGCAGAAGACAAGGTTATTACCTTTGCAAATCACCTTGAAAAGGTCTTCACTCCTCATCCTTGTAATGTACCTAACGATCAATTTATCACAGATTACTTGAACGACAGTAATTTCACAGACGAACCCATTCCAAAAATTAAGTATTCTGAAGTGCTCTACGAGATTAGAAACACTAAATTGGGAAAAACTCCTGGTAATGATGCGATTACATTTGGTCTAATAAAACACCTTCCTGATAAAGGTAAGAGATTTTTAACTATATTATTTAATGCCATAATACGGCTGAAGTATTTTCCTTCATCGTGGAAATTGGCGAAAATAATCTTAATTCTCAAGCCTGGAAAAAATCCTACTGATGCAGTTTCCTACCGGCCCATCAGTCTTCTGTCTTGCCTCTCAAAAATTTTTGAAAAAGTTATTCACAAAAGAATCATAATTATTTTAGAAGATAACAATTTTATGCCAAAACATCAATTTGGGTTCATAGTAGAACACCAAATAGTAGAACTCATAGTAGAACAAATACATAGAGTTGTGGATTCCATTTATAAAGCCTTTCACTTAAAAAAATATTGTTCAGCCCTTTTTCTTGACATCAGTCAGGCGTTTGATAAAGTTTGGCATAACGGCTTATTGTACAAATTAAAGAAGAATTTACCATACAACTATTATCTCCTCCTAAAATCATATCTGTGTGATAGAAGGTTCTTTGTCAGTTTTAATGATGCTTCATCTAATGTTAAAAATATTTCTTCCGGAGTTCCCCAAGGTAGTGTTCTTGGTCCGCTGATTTACATTATATATACTGCTGATATACCTACAAATGCAGAAACCATGATTGCTACCTTTGCAGTTGACACGGGAATTCTAGCTCAACATGACAACCAATTGCTTGCCTCGGAAATTCTACAAAAACATGTAGATGAAGTAGAAAAGTGGATGAAACTATGGAGAATAAAAGTGAATAACTCTAAATCAGTTCACGTTACTTTTACCTTAAGACAAGGTTCATGCCCCCCTGTTAGATTGAGTGGTGATTTGGTTCCTGTATCCAATGTTGTTAAATATCTGGGATTACATTTAGATAGAAGATTAACCTGGCATGAACATATTCTAAAGAAGCGTCAGCAGCTTGAATTAACACGTAGACAACTAAATTGGTTAATGGGCTGGAAATCACAAGTCACAATAGAAAATAAACTCTTAATCTACAAGACAATAATTAAACCAATATGGTCCTACGGTCTACAACTATGGGGTGCGGCCAGTAAATCGAATATAACTATTCTACAAAGGTTCCAAAACAAAATTTTGAAAGAAATCGTGAACGCTCCAAAATATGTTCCAAACTGGTTGATACATCAAGATCTCAGTATCCGAACTATAGATGAAGAAATTAATCTATACTGCACCAGATATAAAGCACGTCTGAGTCGTCATCCAAACGTATTAGCGTCAGATCTGCTCAAGCCTTTACCACCAAAGCGTCTTAAAAAAAGAATATGCAATGATTTACTAGAAATTATAATATAATATCTATGAAGGCGCTATCGCAGGATAGCGATCCTTCTCACGCAGACAATTAATATATAACTGTAACATATGTAGCTGAATGTACTTTATATAGCTTGCTATGAAAAATAAATACAAAAAAAAAAAAAAAAAAAAATATATACACTCATACATACAACGACATTCACATACACACAATATATATATATATATATATATATATATATATATATACATACACACACACACACACACACATATATATATATATATATATATATATATATATATATATATGACCTTACAAAATAATCAATCCAATAATTAAAAATAGAATTAAATTTTTATTGGACAAACAAAATATAACTACACATTGTCCAAATAACTTCTCTATATCGGAAAATAAATGTTTTGTGAATTTTCCGTATATAGACAAAGATTTACACCTTTTATCCAAAAGACTTTATAATAAACACAATATTAACATATCCGTGTCACCCTTACTACAACTGCAAGATGAAATATATACACATAATACACAAACATTAAGGACAGTATACCTACCATAAAAAGAAAAGATATTGTTTACAAAATAAACTGCGGGAATTGCGATTCATCTTATATTGGGCAAACTTGTCAAAATTTAGAAAAAAAGATTAAGACAACATGAATTACAAAGTAAACAAAGTAAAAATGACAACAAACAACAAAAAAGTACACTTGTAGATCACGCTATCTCTAACAACCATAGTTTCGATTTCAATAATCCGCACATATTATACTATGAACAAGATTTATTTAAAAAAAGTATTGCAGAATCGATGTTAATAGTTCACACAAAAAATACAGTGAATTTACGGACAGATACCAATATGTTACAGAATACATATCTAAACCTGATTAATACTTTGTAGCTTTTTATTTACGTATATGTGTTTGTATATATATGTATGTATGTATATATATATATATATATATATATATATATATACATATATATATATATATATATATATACACTCGTTCCACATCGGATAAAGTTTCTTGATGTAATGCAGGCAAATGGTATCTTCAAAATTATTATCTTTTGTGGAAATTAAACTCAGGTTGGGGTTAATTATTTTGTTTTTTAAAATAGTGAGTCTATTGTTTGTGACGGATTTTATAAGATGTGGGGGATAGGAATTATGTGTGAAGGTTTTGAGAATTAAATATAAGTTTGAGGTCCAAAATTGTTTGTCAGAAAGGAGAATAGCATGGTCTACTAGATTAATGATAGTTCGTATTTTCATGCTAGAGATGGTAGGAGTGAAAATTTAAATACTTACCTGACCAAGTAGGTTTTTGGTACCAGTTAGTGAGAATGCGGTTGTCTGTGCTTTTAATGATTTTGACATCCAAGAAGCTGATAGAGTTATTTTGTTCTTTTTCGAAAGTGTACTTAATATGTTTGTTAAACGAATTGAATGAGTAGGCAAAACCAGCTTCATCTGCGAAAATTACTAATATGTTCTAAATATTGTTTCCCAATTCATATCGAATACCTAACACCACGGTTTTCACAACACTATCACACACACTTACACAGCGCGTCATACTGATGACCAGTTACGAATACATGTTCTCAAAATTTTAACCTCAGTTCGCTTCGAGCTACCGTGCAGTGCACTTCGTACCTTATCAGGTTCAGGTATAATTCGTGTGTTATTGTAAAAGGTATTGTTATCAGTTGAATCATAATACCCAAGTGTTATAAATCAAAACAATCGAATGTACCCGCAAGGGTACATTTCAGTGTATTAAAACTAATGTAAACACATTGTTCATACGGACTTTTATAATAAAGTGATTGTAATATTTTTTTTTTTTTTTTTGTTTGGCCTCTTATTTACAAACTAGTCATATACAAACTTTCCTACATTTATATTCTAATTTTACATTTAACTAAAAAATTATATATAATTTTATAATAATCAATATTTGACAGTAAACTAAATAAATTAAATGGTTTAACTAAATTTTTAATTCTATATAATTCATATAATAAATAATCCCTATTTTCTTGATATCTGCTGCAAGTTAAAATTATATGTTCCAAAGATCCCACATCCTTCCCACAGTCACAAATAGCTGACTCTCTCATCTTTATTTTGAACAGGTGTTCTGGGAAATGTCCATGGTTACACCTTATTCTGTTCATCGTACTTATAAAGTATCTATCTTCATTTTTGAATTGATAAAACCAAGGTACCTTTTTAACAAAGTCGTTAACCCCTTTATAATATTTTCCTTTATATCTTGATGTTATTTGCCAATCCGTTTTCCATTTATTAACTGCTTTATTTTTCATAATTTTTATTATATCTTTATTTAATACTTGGTTATATTCCATTCCCTTTAAGCAAGCGTATTTGGCTAATTCATCAGCTTTTTCGTTTCCTGTAATTCCGGAGTGACCTTTTACCCATGCTATTTTTATATCCTTACCATTTTCTTTAATTTTCTCCAAATCTTGCAAGATATCAAAATAAATTTTTTCTTCTAAATTTAGATCTCTAAAAAACACTTGTAATTTATTGATACAGCTCATGCTGTCCGTAACTATAATTGTTTTATTATAATTCTGTTATTTAGCTTTTCTTATGGCCTCCTTAATTGCAAATAACTCCGCTGTATAGACAGAAACACACCCTGGTAACTTGTAACATTCACTTGTTTGATCGGTTTCTTTATATATAGCAAAACCTACATTGTCCATATCCTTCGATCCATCCGTTAATATAACTTCTGCATCTGGATTATTATTAACAGATTTTAATAAATCGATATTTATAATATTATCAAATATACAACTGTCAAAATATATTTTATTATAATAAGGATGAATGCTGAATGAATACATACTTTCTTGATATCTAATTACTTCTCTAAAACTCTGAATAATAATAGGTATTTTTTTAATCAGCCAATAAATATTACGTTTGCATTCATTATTTAAATCATTAATTCTGTCATAAATTTCAGATGAATTAAAATTAATTTTTTTCAACATATATTTGTCACTCAACCATTCATATCTGACTTTTAGTGGCATAACACCAGTTTTTAATAACAGTACATTTGTTGGTGTCGATCTCATCATACCTGCGCAAAATCTTAAACATTTGTATTGAATTTTTTCAAGCTCATTTACCATATTTGAATGTCCAAAAATTGTGCTACCATATTCCAGTATTAATCTAATTATGGTTTTATATAAATTAATGGATGTGATAGGGTGTGAACCCCACCAAGTACTGTTTATCAATCTCATTAAACTGGTCTTTTTTTCAATTCTTTTTTTAATATAATTCATATGATATTTAAAAGTCATTTTTTGATCAAAATATATACCTAGGAATTTATTGTTGCAATGAATTTTAATTGTATTATATGGACTTGAAATACAAGCTGATAACTTTTTGTTGGAATGCCTCGTAAATATTCCTATGGAGCTTTTATCATCTGATAGTTCCAGACCTTTCTCATTCAACCAAATATGCAGCAATTCCATATTCATAGACATCATATCGATGGCCTCTTTCAAATTATCTTTTTCAATATAGATCAATAAATCATCTGCATATTGTAGAATTTTCGTACCTTCCAACCATATACCTTCTATATCCCGTACATATAGAGCATATAATGAAGGACTAAGGATAGCTCCTTGAGGTAGACCCTGTCGAAGAACTCTTCCAATCCTTGCATTTTCATTTATTTTAACTTCTATTTCTCTATTAAAGGTAGTATATACCATAGCTTTGATCAATTTTTCTGGTAAGCCAGCATGTACAAGACTTTCTGCTAATTTTCCCGGCACCACATTATCGTATGCACCCTTTATATCGCAAAACAGTGCAACGACATAAGTGTTTCTTGAAAAGGCTAGATGTATGTCTGTGGAAAATATACTTAGACTATCTTGTGTGCTTAATCCTTTTCTAAAGCCAAATTAGCTTTTGGGCAGTAACTGATTGTTTTCAATCCATCACTCGACACTTCTTTTTATCATCCTATCTTTTATTTTAGCAATACATGACGCCAAAGTAATTGGTCTATATGCATTGCTATCCTCAGAATTATTGCTCTTCTTTTTAATTAAAATAACTCTAAATTTATTCCAATCAGGAATTTCATTCGGTGACAGCCAATACTTATTAATAATTTTGAGTAGAATTTCTTTTCCGGACTGTGGAAGGTTTTTTAACATAGAATAATGAATGTTGTCTAATCCTGGAGCAGTATCTTTGATTTTGCTCCAAGATTTTTCTAATTCCCATAATGAAAATGGTCTAATTAATGACTTTTCTACCGAACCTGTTACTCTATTTCCTTTAAGATATTTACAAATATCATCACCCACTCCAAAGGGCGCAATATTATCAACTACTTCTTCCACTACTTTATCAATAATCAATTCTGAATTCTTCTCATTCTGTGAAATATAATTGTTCATTGATTTAACCATTTTGAAAATAATTTTAGATGGGGTATTAGGATTTAGATTGTTGACAAATTTACACCAACTTTTTCTTTTCTTTATTTTTAGTTCTTTCCGAACTTTAGCTTTAATTTTATTACACTGAAGAAAATTTTCTAAACTCGAATTTCTTCTAAAGTTATTTTCTGCTTTTCTCCGTTCTTCTACCAGTTTAAAACATTCTTCATCCCACCACACTGCTTTCCTCACTTGAGATGTTGTTAACATTTTATTTATTGGTATACATTTTTCCGCAGTTTGATTTATAATATTTGTGAATTTTTCATAAATGTTACTATCTAAATGATTGCCCAATGATAAGATTTCATGTTCAATCATTATTTTATATTTTTGCCAATCAGCTTTACCACAATTCCATTTTCTATTGGGAATCAATATCATGTTACTTCTCACTATATCCAAATAAAAATAAATAGGATAATGATCAGAGCCTAAGTTTTCCTCTATTACTTTCCATGTTATTAAATGAAATATTTCAGAAGAGCACACTGTAACATCAACTACAGTTTTAGTGTTTTTAAACACAAGTGTTGGGGAACCATTATTTAATACAAATAAATTACACTCTTCAATTGATTCCATTAAATTCATTCCGTAATTATCATTATAGTTACATCCCCAGGAATGGTGATGCGCATTTACATCTCCAGCTATAATGAACGGTCTAGGAATATTCTCAAATAAATAATTCCATTGTTGTTTCGTAACGTGTGTACCTGGCGATATATATATTAATACCAAATATATTTTTTTATCTCCTAATATTATTGATATTGCACATAATTGGACTTTGTTTATATCTATTTCTCCAATATCTATATTTACAATCTGATAGTTAATTCTTTCGTTAATAATTATAGCCGCTCCACCTTTCCCGTCATATCTGTCAGTTCTGATTATATTGTAATTTTTTAAATAGTACCGTCGGTTCTATTTGAACCAAGATTCTGATAAAAATATAACATCAGTTTTATTTTGATATAAAAAGATTTCCAAACTTTCTTTGTTAGAATTAAACGATCTAATGTTCCACTGTAATAAATGCATAATGAAATTTATAGATTTGGTTTTAATTTGAATTTAACTGTTTAAACGTTTATCAATTTTCTTTTACTTCTAATAATTTCAACTTAAGTTATTATTATCAAAACCAACTTTATTTTGTTGTTCACTAATATTTCTAACTTTCACACTATTATACTTCTCGTAAATTATATCCATATCCTTTTTAAATTTTACCACAACTTCCTGTAGATCATCACACTCTTTGTTCCTTATTTTTTCTCTCAGTTTTTTAACTAGCTCCTCATGGATTATTTGTATTTTCCTAATTTCTTCTATTTCTATATTTTTGCCGCAATATTCGCGCCTTTGTGAATTGATTGTAATATTTATTGAACAAATACTTAACAGTGTTTAATACAAAGAGTGTCACATTGTATAATAATTTAATTGTGGACTCCATTGGGGTTCGCAATGAATAACTTAATTGTGGAGTCGGCAAATGTAATTGCCGACGATTCACATACCAGTTCAGAATTTATTACAGAACATCTACGTAATCAGTCTGCAAATTCAATTTGTTCATCAACAGACACAATAACTAATGCTCCTTCACCGTCAACAAATATAACAACTAATGCTCGCATACCGTCAACTAGCGTTATGGAAGTTGAAACGGATACTAACAATTCTAATAAAAACAAATGGCAAATTGTCCCGATTGCCGGCGTTAAAAGAAGACGTTTGAATATTCAAACTGATAATTCGATAGCATTAGGTGATCGATTTAGTGTCCTTACTAATAAAGAACCAGTACCTGTTACTGAAACCTCTGCTTCAGTTAAAAAAGCATTGCCGCCTCCCGTATTTATTTACGGAGTTGACGATTTTAAAGGAATGTTAGACGATCTGAAATCTGTGTTAACAAAAAATACTTTTACGATTAAAACTTTGCCAGATAAAGTTACTAGATTTAACGTTCAATCTGTTGAAGATTACCGTAATTTTGTTAAATTTCTTCGAACTCGAGATATCGTATTTCATACATACCAAATCAAATCGGAAAGGGCATATCGTGTTGTACTAAAGTACATCCACTATAAAACCGATATCAACGAATTAAAGCAGGAAATTGAATCCAAGGGTCATAGAGTTAGAAATATCACTAATGTGTTGCATCACAGAAATAAAAACCCACTTGATATGTTTTACATTGACTTGAAACCTGATAAAAATAATACTAATAACAAGATATTGAATCAAATAATTCATTTTCATCCACCGATTAATAATTCAGGAATTTCCCATTGCAGTCGCTGCCAATTATTCGGCCATACAAAATCCTATTGTAATAGACCGTTTATTTGTGTAAAATGCGGTGATGATCATCCCACTTCAATTTGTTCCAAGTCGCGCGAATCTCCAGCAGTCTGTGCAAACTGTTTTCAATCTCACCCAGCTAATTACAAAGGTTGCGTTATTTATCAACAGATAGTTAATTCTAAAAATAGAATTAACAGTAAATTTTCTGTCAATCAAAACAAGCCTACCGCTTCGCAAAGCTACGCAGACAGGTCTCGCTTTGGCAGACTCACCAACACCGAGCACTTATCGTATGCGCAAGCTATAAAATCACATAACCCAGTCAACAATTCAGAAAATCAAAATTCAGCTATCTCTCAATTTCTAGTGGAATTTAAAGCAATGTTTAACCAGCTAATGCAACAGAATAGTATGATAATTAACATGCTATCAACACTAATCAATAAAAGAAACTAGTATCAATGGCTAGATTTATTAGAATATGTGCTTGGAATGCAAATGGCCTTCTACAACATAGAAACGAACTAATTATTTTTCTGGAAGAAAACAAAATTGACGTGTTGTTAGTAAGTGAAACCCACTTTACTAATTACTCCAATATGTACATTCCCTACTACAACATTTACCACACTCCGCATCCAGATGGCTCTGCTCATGGGGGTTTAGCTATACTTATTAAATACAACTTATCTCACTATGAGGTTCCTAAATATAGCAAGGAATTCTTACAAGCTACATCAATCCAAGTCAAACTCGCTACATGCAACATCATACTATCTGCAGTATATTGCCCTCCACGCCATGCGATTATCAGCTCTCAATTCTATGACTTCTTCTCATCTTTAGGACCCAGGTTCATAGTGGGAGGTGATTTCAATAGCAAGCACCCTCTCTGGGGCTCAAGATTGACTAATACCAAGGGCAGACAATTATACAGTGTAATTTCTCAATATAACTATGCAACGCTATCGACGGGTACTCCAACTTACTGGCCCTCAGATCCCAAAAAGAAACCAGATCTACTGGATTTCTTTATTTTTCATGGCATCAATTCAAATTACACTGAAATTGAAACTAATTTTGACCTTTCATCTGACCAAACTCCTGTAATTGCCAGTATCTTCTCATCTATAATTAATATTTCTCGAGCATCATGCCTTCACACTGCGAAAACAAATTGGGATATGTATCGCAAAAAAGTTGAGGACAAAATCAATCTGCAAATGAGATTGAAAACGCAAACTGATGTTAATACAGCTATCGAAAACTTCAACAACATTTTGACTAAAGCTGCTTCATCCTCTACGCCTAAACCTGTGCAATCCAATCGACAATCTACTTCCCTAGAAATCAAAAGGCTTATCGCTGAAAAACGGAGAGCAAGAAAAAAATGGCATAACAGCCATTTACCTTCAGATAAAACCTACTTTATCAATATCAGTAATAAGCTGAAGAATAGATTGAAAGAAATGAGCAATATTAATTTCACCAACTATGTAGCCAGCCTTAACCGCTTCGACAATTCTATTTGGAAACCAGTAAAAAACCGACTCAAACCATGTGTGCGAAACCCGCCAATTCGTTGGGATGCCGACAACGACTCGACTTGGTCACAAAGTGATAAGGATAAAACTGAAGTTTTTGCCAAGTATTCATCCTCTGTGTTTCAGCCTAATTTACCTTCTGATAATCAAATTCCTGATTATGACATGGTTTTTCGAACGATTTCTGTTAGAAATAATAAAAAATTCTTCTCTCTGAGAACGGTTGTCAGGGAAATTTCCAAACTTAAAAACAAAAAATCTCTAGGAATCGACTTAATTTCGTCGAGGATGTTGAAAGAATTGCCTAAAAAAGGTATTATTTGTCTAACATACATATATAATGCTATATTAAGACTGGAATTCTGGCCTAAATCCTTTAAAACCTCTATAGTTAAAATGATTCCAAAGACTGGAAAGGATCCATATTTGGTTTCATCTTATAGGCCTATTAGCCTTCTACCTATTACTTCAGAAATTTTCGAAAAACTTTTACTTCAAGATATATTATCAGAATCAAATAATATACCAGACCATCAATTTGGCTTTCGTAAGCAACATTCGACAACACAACAGTGTCACAGACTTGTTAATATTATTAATAACTCCTTCGATGCCAAGGAATAATGTTCAGCCGTGTTTCTGGATGTAAAGCAGGCATTTGACAAAGTGTGGCATGAGGGATTACTTTTAAAAATAAAATATAACCTTCCATCATCCTACTATGAAATTCTTAAGTCATACCTTACAGACAGAACATTCAGAGTCAGGGTTAATTGTGAAACTTCTACTTCTTTTCCGATAAGTGCCGGCGTTTCACAAGGAAGTGTGCTGGGTCCGTTCCTTTATTTACTATTTACGAGCGATTTTCCTTCATTGCCAACTACATCAAGTGCTACATTTGCTGATGACATTGCAATACTTTCCTCTGATATCAACCCTATCGTTGCATCTATCAAGCTCCAGCTACATCTATATGCTGTCGAGCGATGGACGAAAAAATGGCGCATTGTTATTAACGAGAGCAAGTCTTGCCATATTACATTTTCTTTGAACAAACAAACATGCCCTGAAGTATACTTTAACTGCCAGAAAATTTCACCAGCTGATAATGTTAAATATCTGGGAATATACTTAGATCGAAAACTGACATTGAAAACCCACATTATGGCTAAATTAAAACATATCAAACAGAAGATTGCAGACCTGAATTGGCTAATGAGGCGCAAATCAATCCTATCGCTTGAAAACAAACTATTGATATACAAATCTGTAATAAATCCCATTTGGACATACGGTATAGAGCTTTGGGGTTGCGCCAGCATGTCCAACATTGTTTTAATGCAACGGATGCAATCCAAAATCTTAAGGCAGATCACCGACGCACCGTGGTATGTAAGTAATAAAATCATCCATGAAGACCTCAATATTCCTTTTATTAAGGATGTAATTAGCAGCAGGAGTTCAATCCATCATTCCAAGCTTGAAAATCATGCAAACCATCTTATAGCACCTCTACTTATGACTCCGTCTACTAGAAGGTTGAAGAGAAAAATTCCTTTGGACTTGACATAACATAGTGAGCTGTTCATTGGAACAGTTTCACGGATTATTTAGTTTATATTATAATTTTACCTTTCGTTTTAATTATGTTATGAGTTGTAATTATTATTATTTTTTATTTACTTTTTATTTTTGATTTATTATATATTATTTTAATTATGC